AATGTTCAAAAGAACGTTTATGACTGTGCTAAGATATTGAAAAGCATTATTGAAAAAAAAAAAAGCTTACATTTATGGAAATGTTATAAGTTCAACGATGTAAAGAAGGAGTAAAATACAAGCAAAACAGGACGGTTTTTTTTTTTAGCTGTCCATTCAAAATTTTAAGCAAATATTTTTCGACAAAATAGTGCTGCACTGATGTTTTAAGGATATACCGACTTGTATACGCAATAATTGCAGATAAAACTGCAGGCAAAAACTGCATTTTTTAAAACCATTAACACTCACCGATTTAATATTATTATTATTATTATTATGATTATTAATTTCACTTTTAAAAGCATTAATTGCATTTATTTTTAAATGTTTTTCAATTTGTCAGTCTTAAAAATATAAACTGTTGTGTATCCGCTAAACTGCATCTTTAATTAATATCTGAATGATTACTTACTGATTTGACTAACAAAGTGATTGATTAAAACAGCTGAAACAAAAAAAGAAAAAAAAAAAGATTTATAAGATTAATAAAATAATTTTATTTTAATCAGAAAACTGATTGAAAAGATTCTATGATTAACGTCAAAAAACCGTCACCATCATCGCCATCGTCATCATCATCATCATCATCATCACCACCATCATCATCATCATCATCACCATCATCATCGTCATCATTATCATCACCATCATCATCGTCATTGTCGACAATCACATCAGCAGCGTCATCGACAGTTGTAACCGCAGCAACCGCAAGAACAATAATAAATAAAGCTTTGGTCTGCACTTATAACCCACATAAGCTATTTTACACCAAAATATTCAAAGTAATTGGAAAACCGTTTTCTGGCAGTAAAAAAACGATGTTTTTTCTCTACACATTCCTGATATCCATCCAGTAGGTGGCAACGAAGAATGGACAACCAAAATCACCATTGCTGAACAGTAAAGCAACAAACAGACGTAGAGCTGTAAAGTATATAAGTCACGAAGCCGTTGGAAATGCCAATTTGGTTTCTTCTACAACCTTTAGAAGTATTTTTTTTGTCCCTCCTCAAACAGTTCGACTACCAGCGGCAATTCGGTTTAACATCACTGTTGGCATCATCGTCATCGTCATCGTCATCGCCATCACCATCACCAGCACTAGCTGAAGCTGCATCAACTTTCCATCTGATCTATATGTTATTTGTCTTATGTTCCTGTAAGCTGTTGGTTGTGAGAGGTACCAGAAAAAAAAAACAGATTGACAGCAAAAACAAATGCAATATAAGCAATAAATTACTACCTTTTTTGCCCTTCTACAAGCTTCTTTCTTCGAAAGCTTTGCTCTCTTTTTCCTTCTGTTTTTTTTTTAAACTACCCCCCTTCTATCATTGATTGAAGATTCTTATTCTTATCAGGAGGAAAAAATTGAAAATCCTGTTTTTTTATTTCTTCTCTTACTGTTGATGCTTAGTTTCTACTGTTACATTTGAATAGGCTAAAAAATAGCAGATAAAGCAGATGTTTTTATTTAAAAAAATTGCGCTTATTTAATAATTATTTTATACATTAAAAAAAAAAAA